CCAACCCCCCCCCCCCCCCCGGCATGGTAGGCCCTGCAGACTTATTAAATATTTGTTGAAACTGGGTGACTATATCTTAACACTCCGATTTAAATTCTTCCAAATATCATGAGATAACCACAGCTTTGCAAAGGAGAATTTCCCTCTTTCCCTGCTCATCTAATTAAAAACAAAAGCAAAAAATCTGAACAAACCTTCTTGGTTAGTTTTATGTGGGGTTTGTCTACACTCCCACAATCGTCTACAGAGCCAAGTCACAGAGGCCTACTCTTATTTCTGCAGTGATGGTGGGCACCATCGATGGGATAAACCTAGTGGGCCCTTAGTCTATCACACCAGGTTTGTCAGGGGACTTCTCCACTGTTACCTGCTCTTCCCCCACCCAATGTGACAGCTGCTGTTCAGATGGGACTGCTTCCATAGTTTTTCATGAGAATTTTCAAGAAACTTGCCAGGATCTTACCAAGGCAGGAAGCTGGAGGAAAAAGGGTATGGGGCATGCTTAATTAGGAGACGACCTGCTCAGGTGGCAACCTTAATTCCTGCTTGTCAGCTAAAATCTCACCAAGTGTGGGAAGAAAGAGTTCCTGGAGGTTCAGCGATAACTTGCATGTTAAAAAGTATATATAATAACAAAGAGCTTAGAGCTCTAGGCGTCTTACTAAATTATCTTAGCATAAATCAAGTCCCCAATGAAAAAGGATACCTTGTAAAGTTAATTGATGATTAAGCAAAACAAAAATTGTTGTCTTTAAAGAGCATGATAATTCAATATGTATTAGTATCTTTTACTTTGGATGTTTTGAGAACACTAGTGAGCCAAGAAAGATTAACTGTGCTTGGTAACACAGAGAAACACAATGAGCTGGACTCCACTAAATAGAGCAGATATGAACATCAGACATGAAAAGTTAGATTTCCTTTTTTCATTGTTGGGCTGTTGGCTTCTTGACATCCTGGAACAAGAACGTTCCACTGCATCTAGGGCTTCAAAGGTGTTTGCTGTTAGAAAAGTACATGGAAGTGAAAAATTTGGGGTGTGTGGATGCATTCTCTGAGAATTGGAATCCCTAACTTATTCTTCAGCCTTTTGCAATTGGACCTTTATTTTTCTAGTCATTTTTATTTGCCTTTCCAGGAAGTGCTCAACAAGACCCAGATAAGGTTGCTGAAGCCATATTGGATGCCATTGAAGACTTTATCCAGAAAGGACTTGTCCGGTCTGTGAAAAAAGTTAAAGTTGTTATCTTTCAGCCTCAAATAATGGATGTTTTTTGTGCCAACATGAAAAAAAGAGAAGGCTCCCAGGCTCCCTCACAGTCTATAATGTCTAAAATTGCATGTGAGTTGTTGATTTTTATGAAATGCACGTTCCTAATGTTGAGGTCATATGAGAAATAGCTAAAAGTCTACACTATTTTTTGTGGTCATTTATTAGCTTCCCCTGGTTTTATTGAGATATAATTGATATATATCACTGTTTAAGGTATACTGCATAATGGTTTGAGTTTACATATGTTACTGCAATAAGTTTAGTTAGTATCCATCATCTCATACATGTCTTAAAAGAGAAAGCAAAATGACTTTATTTCCTTGTTATGAGAACTTTTAGAATTAACAGCTTTCGTATATATCAAACAGATGTGTTAAGTATAGTCATCATGCTGTACATTATATCCTTGGTCATTATTTATCTTGTAACTGGAAGCTTGTACATTTGACCTCTTTTTTCAATTTATCCTTCCTCCAATCCACCTATGGTAACCACAAATGTGATCTCTTTTTCTATGAGTGTGAGTTGTTTTCTCAGCTTCCACATGTGACATTTTAAAATATATATATTTTTGTTGATTTCAGAGAGGATGGGAGAGGGAGAGGGAGAGGAAGAGGGAGAGAGAGAGAGAGAGAGAGAGAGAGAGAGAGAGAGAGAGAAACATCCATGATGAGATAAAATCATGGATCGGCTGCCTCCTGCACACCCCCTACTGGGGATCTAGCCCACAACCTGGGCATTTGCCCTTGACCAGAATTCAACCCAGGACCCTTCAGTCCTCAGGCTGACGATTCATTCACTGAGCTAAACCGGCTAAGGCTGTAAGTGAGATCTTGTGGTATTTGTCTTTTTCTGTCTGCCTTGAATCGGCTAATCTTTAATGAACTATCAGAAAGAAAAATTAAGAAAACAATCCCATTTACAGTTGTATCAAAAAGAATAAAATATCTAGGAATAAATTTAACCAAGAAGGTAAAACAGATAAGACACTGATAAAAGAAATTGAAGAAGACAAAATAAATGCAAAGATATTATGTGCTCATGTATTGTAAGAATAACATTATTAAACTATCCATTCTTCCTAAAGCAGTCTATAGATTTAGTGCAATCCCTATCAAAATGCCAATGAAATTTTCTCAGAAACACAACAAACAATTGTAAAGTTTGTATATAAGCACAAAAGACCCCAAATAGCAAAAGCAATTTGAGAAAGAATAAAAGGTAGAGGCATCACAATTCCTGATTTGAAAGTATATTATAGAGCTACAGTAATCAAAACAGTAGGGGATTGGTGTAAAAACAGAAACACAGATCAATGGAAGAGAATAGAGAGCCCAGAAAGAAACCCATGCATATATGGTCAATTAATTGATAACAAAAGAGCCAAGAATATACAATGGGGGAAGGGTAGTCTCTTTAATAAATAGTGTTGGGCACCTACTTCAGTAGCACATCTACACTAATAAAAGAGAAACATGGTAATTGGCGTACGACCGCTACCCTTCCCATTGGCTAATCAGCATATCCTTATGCAAATTAACTGTCAGCCAAGATGGCGGCCGGCAGCCAGGCAGCTGGAAGCGAACATGAGGCTTGCTTCCTCCAGTGACTGCAGACTCCAACGTTCCCCGCCTCACTTGCCG